GGTGCCCGCTTGACCAATAGTCTATGACTTCACCCTCGGGGGATGAAATTTCGCGGACCTATCCACGACAACCATGAAACGTCTGCTCGTTCTAGTTTCTGGTTTAACTCTTCACCGTACATTTCTAAATTGGACAGCCTATCGCTGAACCTGTGCGCCTGCAATGGATCCCTCAAATCAAATCGAACCGCCTAATAAATTCAGCGAGGCAGTCGGTGAGTTAGGGTGGTATTTCGCTCGGCAATCGGCGTGATCGTTCGACAAAATACCGTGGACGGAATTCAATTTTGCATTCGCCGAGTGAAATTCGCTGTTTGATTTAAGTTCATCCAGGGTCCGCGACGTCGTGACGGCTGCGTGCTCGGAAGCAATAGATTTCGCGATCCCAGTTCGTCGGTCTTCCGGTACGGATAACGTATCTCGCTCGTAAATTCGTCTCTGTTCCGCGGCCTGCTGGGAATTAATGCTCACCGGGGGAAGATAAAAGTGCGCGAACGGCATTAAATTAACATCTCGGATCCAGTTTTGCCGCGTTGAATGTTGCCTCGACGATTTCTTCGCGTTTCCGTGCCGCGTTCTTTCGCTGTTCGACTTCCTGTTCGAAGCGATCTCTCTCGCATGTTTTCGCAGAAATGTTCGAAAAAAGAAAATCGCACGTTTAATTGTACCTTTGCGTGGCGACCGCTCATTAATCGATCGAAGTAATTAAATGTGTATTTACAAATCAGTTTCATTCTGCAAATACTCCCCTTCTTATGCATTCTTGAAAATCATTCTTTATTCGTCCTGTTCGCGAATGGCTATTGTCCTCAAATTTAATTACGCGTTCGATCGCCGTTTCCATCGACGAGTTGTATCCAGGATATTTCAAGTACTTCCCACAGATTCCTCGACTCGCAATCGATTCCCTGAATCCACCTCCGCCCGTGGGAATAGAAAAGCCGCGATCAGTATTGTCTTCCCGAGAAACAGCGAAGCAAACGTTTATCCGCTGTCAGTTGGAAAAGAACGTGCGTCGACTTCACCGGTGTCGGAAACGAATACATAGAATCCGGTTTTAACGAACAATCCGGAGGCCATGTTTCCATGAACGCGAGAGTTCACAATTGCTGATTGATCCATTAGAAGACACGTCCGTTTAAAAATTGTCGCGATTGTTCAAATATCAGAATCGCACGAATAGTTCGATATTCTGGAGTAAGAAGCAGTAGGTTTAACATATTCGTGAATTCGTGTCGCTTCAAATTCTATTTCTGATTATGAACAAATTACGATAATCCTTGGTGCGTCATCTTTTCGATAAAATCATTAGACTGATTTGTTCGGAATATAATAAACACGTTCGAGATGAAGGAATGCTGCGACGGCGGTTTCCGCGGTCGCATAAATTATCCAAAGGCGATCGCGTTGAATTCGTCGATGCGAGCCGGTGACGGGCAATTAAATTAACGATTTCCCCGAAGTAATAGACAGCCTCGACGGGGAGTAAGGCGGCAGGGGGCAGAAAACCGCCGACAGAAACGTCACGTCGTCGCATCGTGACCATCTACAGTGTCCGGCGTCGTCGGACGTCGCACGGTAATTGCGATTTATTTCTCTTAATCGCGCTTAAACGGCAGCCAATTTATGCTCGCTCGAGTTAATTTTACGCAATTATATAATTACCAACTGGCTCCCGAGGCACAGCGGCGCGGCCTAATCGGGGTGCCAAAGCGGCGTTCTAATGGCGGCACTTCAGATTCGAAGACATCTCAGGAACGATTCGCTCCGAAATTACACCGTGCCCACCCTGCAGCGCGAATTTACTTCTTTCGGTGACTCGTTAAGAGGTCCCCGGGGTCCTTATAGTCACGTTTATCGGACCAGAAAAATGCTGGATTTTTGGAATCGCTGCGCGACTCCGTTAACCAACGGTCGAATTCGTCGGGTTGAACTATATGGAATTCCCTTCCTTTCAGAATTTATTACGCAAGTTTGTTAACGCATTCCTAATACCGAGTCGTGACGAAAATAATAAAATTCTGTGTCGTCAAGGCAAAGATAAAAATTGAAAAATATGTTTTGTAATATCAAATGTTGTAAATATGTAGTGTATAAAAATTTGTCCATAACCAGGAATAGAATTCCCTTACTTTTCATTCACCTGAACCAATTGCTCACCTCGCGATAGCGTAGTTAAACTGAGCCCAACGTGTCAGGTCGAACGGAAAATTCGGCGTTGCGAGCGTGGAAACAGCCCAGGAACGAACGGGCAGAGATTTAGGGCCAATTTAGGAAACGCTTTCGTTCGCACGCGCACGCCTCGCTTTATGGCGCAGATTGAGAGTTGGCTTGCGGATCGGACCGACCAAACGAGTTTTCAAGAATTTACTTGCCGGTATGCCGGCAACGCTCACTATTCTAACTGGCGTGTGCTACCGTAAGGGCCCGTGCACGCTCGCTGGTTCCGAGTAGCCGCGACATCGTCGTCAAACATCGATTCTGGAAATTAATGAATAAATAAGGACGGACTCCGGGCCGCTTTCTCGATTCGAGAGAATACCGATTCCCGCGACTCGGGACGATCGCGAGCTGAAAAACGATGCCAGATCGTTCGCGATCCAGATTTCTGTAAATTTTATTCCGACTGCGAAAGTGCGCACGAGCCTCGCTCGTTTCGAGCTGGCTTGACGCGGATCCTGCGATTCAGTCCCCTTGTTTTTTCGGATAACGGGGGGCAGAGGCGGTTGGTAACTTGAAAATTTATGCGCGAATCGATGGAACGGAAATGAACAGCTCGACGATCGATTTACGATGTTGGTAGTAGATACACTTTGGTAAACTCAATTTTTATTTTAGAGCGCTCATCAATATCGAAAGCACTATCATTTTTACTTCGTACCTAGGCACTGCCCTTTCAATATGAAACAGCGAAACTTGCAGTGGAACAAGTGCATGTGAATTACACGGATTTGTTTATATAGAGTTCGGAGGGTGCTTGAAACCTTTGAGCGGCAACGTGTGTATTATTTGAGAAGTATGCAATTTTTTTGAAGTGAAACTTTTTATAGCTCGTCAGAGTAATTTGACCAAGTGAAACGCGTGTCGTACCACTTTTAATGCGCGGAATTCCACAGCTATTGATTTCCAAATTGTTAGTTTGAACTTGGAGTCGGTGACAAACAAACTTTTAACTTTTTAACAAAGGGACGAGGTAAAAATGCATCATTTTCGATACTCGTTTGATTGAAATGGCCAAAATGGCTACTGGTAGAGGGTCGAAGCGTCGAGGGTCGAATCAACGGCCGCGAAAGGGATGAGAGTGCCGAAGCGAGGCTCTGGTATCGATTTCCGACCCCTGAATTCACCATACATGGAACCAGTCCTGGCATACCAATTTCTCTCCCTTTCTATATTCCCTTGTCAATCCACACATTTCACAATTTAAAATGTACATACCCTCAAATATGCCCTCTCTTCGTATCGATCATTAAACAAGCTTCTCGATTTCATTGTAACCGACCATAAATGATAAAGTATAACGAAAATGGAAACAGAAAGAAATATCCTATCCAGAGGAAAAAGTACGAGGGAAAGGGAAACCAGCGGTAAAAATAAATCCGAATCAAAGAAGCGGAAGTTCCCAAACGCGGTGGAACGTCACGTTAAAAAGTCACGTCAGTGTGTCGCGTGAAATCGCGTGGGACTGTCCCGTGGTAAAACGAAAGGCGGGTTGGTTTCAGGGACGTGCAGACAGATGGGAGTGGTCTCCGCAATCACGATGGGCGTGTTTTCACACGGCGTGCTGCAGCTGCACCCCGCGATGCAAGTCGCGCGCGATGCACTTGCGTTCGAACGAGGAGGCGAAGAGTGCCGCGCTACATCAAGGGGGCACTCTTTTACTTTTATATACCAGGTTCGAGCCAACCTTCCACATTTTTTTACAGTTAACGTAATTTTTCGATTTTATGAACTAAGTTAACACACTTGGAAGCACACTATTTTTTTTTTTTTTTTAAGTTGTATGTCTTTAGAATTTCACCTGGGATTTCTAATACTCGAAACATTCAATCATTATTCTCCTCGTGTGACGAATGTGCTTATCAAAACACGGGTAACTGTTCGATAGTATTTGATATAAATATTGTAAAGAGCTTGCTTATTGTAAAGCAACACGAGAACATTTTTTCGATCTAAAATAAAAGAGTGGTCTCCTGAGAGGTCGAGCGACACTCACCGCATGGCGTTCTCTGGTGTAGGAAGAACCGTTTGGACAAAGTGTACCAGGATTAAGGGACGCCTGGTATAATTCGTCGGCGAGGGTTGCTGGCGGTTAAAGAGGCAGCGGCCCTTTTTGCAACGACGTGTCCCGAGCACCTCCGTCGAGCGGAGCGAAATGTTTTACGGCCGAGCCGCGGCTTTTTGTCGTCGGCATCGATGATTTCGGTGGGAGAACAACGAAGAAACGGGGCCCCGAACGTGGCAGCGCTATATCGGCCCGCGGGCCCCCATTAAGCTCTTATTAATTGCGAGCATCTGAGGGGCCGACCGACCTTTCTTGCGCTACCTGCGCGCCATTCTGCCTCCGTTCGTTCCGCCGCACGATACAAACGCCGCCCGTACGCTCCTCCTCGGCCTTCCAACTTTGATGTCGAGTCGATCCCTCTGACGAGATTTATCATGTAAATCGCGAATAAAAAGTGCGCGCACCCCAAGCCGCAAACTGGGATGCGACGGTCTCCTTTTCTCCGCGGTTGTGGAAGGATCGCGGTGGATATCGATCGATCGATCGCTGTTCGAACTCAAAGGGTTGATTTGGAGGTGGATGGATGGATGGATGGAGGACGCTGGGTGGCTTCGAGACGGTATTATTTGAGATATCGGAATTAGAGATTCTATCGATACTGATGCTTGGGTACTTAACTATATTCACTGCTGTGTCTCGATTGAACTTCACCCTTAACCCTTTGAAAAGAAGTTAAGAAAACGATGGAAAACGTAACCCTTGAGGATCTACTCACCAGAGAGGGGTGCGTAGGGGCCGTGCGGGTAAGGGGGTGCGGAGGAAGCGTCGACGAGCGACTGCGACGGCGTCGCCGACGTCCAGTCCTTGTAGGAGGCCGCGGCGTGCGCGTGGTGCGCCGCATGATGGGACGTATGGTGGCCGAGTCCTCGTGCACCACCCAACAACAGACCACCGTAACTCGTCACGGCCGCCATATTATGGTGGTGATACTCGTGCACAGCCCTGGAACAAAGCGTGGAAACCGTTCGACTCTTATGCTCGATGGCGAGTAAAAAAACCTCGTATTGAAGAAATAAAAAAAAACACAGTCTGTTCAATGAGAGAGGGTGTGGACGCGATGTCTCTGACGTTTGATCGTCCAATGAACGAGAGATTGCGCTCATAGGAATACTAACATATTAGTGTTCTTTGCCCTGAAGATGACTTTTTCGAAATTATTTTTTCGTCCACGCTCCCATTGAACAACCTGTAAAAAGAAGAACGGGGTCCGCGCGAAGGAAAAGAAACAACCCAAAAAAGGTCTCGCGGTGGGGGAAATGAGAAGAGAAAAAAAGGGTGGCGCGAGATGGAGAAAGAGAGAGACAGAGAGAAGGAGGGAAAGAATTCTCGATATCGTGCCTCTTCTCAAGAACGGTGACAGACTGGTAATTTATACGGCGGCCGATGCAAGATCAGCGCTAAAGATCTCCCGAGCAGGGGTACCTGCTCCCGACGGTTTTCTGTATTTTTCACGTCTCGTTTTCTCTTTGCCACGGTCGTTCTCTCTTCTTTCAGCCTTCTCGAACCCGACTTTAATCCTCTCCCGTCCTGGCGCGCGTGTGTGCTCCGCTCCCGTCTCTCTTTCCACGATTTCTCGTGATTTTTCTCTCATTCTTTTCTCCCTTTTTCAGACACTCACCCCCCGTCCGTCCTTTCGTCTCGCTCACCTTCTCCCTCTCCCTTTTTCTCTAGCGCGCGTTTCTCGTCCCGTGCGTGCCGCGACATTCATTTCTGACGGTTTATCCCGGCAGGCTATCGCGTAATGACCGTGTCGCGCCTGCCGGAGGTGGATTTTTGGAATGCGTGAAACATTGGCCGCGTTATCGTCCGTTAATTGAACGAACGACGCTAGCGACGATTTCGTCGATTAATCACGGCCCGGTTTAACCGCGAGCTCGTTGCCGATCGAATTTAAAATAGAGCATGCTACCGCGGAATGTACGAACGCGATTCTTCCCAAGGATTCCCGTCTCATTGGCCACGGGACGCGCAGATAAGACGAGACTCGGCGATATTCGCATTGGCGGTAAATTGAGATTAAGTACAGCCGTGGGCAACAGGTACTGCGAGGCCTTCAGGGATGCTTTCGAAATAAACAAGAGGCGGAGAAGAATTTTTGTGTTTAGAAGGGTACCGAGTCTGACTCGTGGTATTTCATTCGGACTTTTTACTTTCTTATTTGTTATGGTCCGAGCAATCGGGAGATAACGTGTAGGTCAAGGGGTTAAGAAAAAATTGAGATTGTCGGAGAAGTACCGCGTTTATAATAGAATTAGAAACATATCCTCGGGACAAGATAAGGAATCTCGGGCAGGCTCACCTGTGGTGATACTGTGGGTAGTGTGGGTGCCATGGATCCGTTGGATACTCGTAGATCTCACCAGGATGCTGGCTGTTCCAGAAGGAAGCGGGGAAGTTCCTCATGGACATGGGAGAGATATTTTCTAGAAAAAAGAAATCGTGTCTGTTATTTAAGACAGTGAAACGAGATTATACCACGGTCTCATACTATATGATTTCAATCTCTATGATCATTTAAAAACAGCATAGATTATAAAAAGAAAATACTGTATGTGCCCTCGTGTAGCGATGGCTGGTTACAATTTTTAATACATCGTTTCCCATTAGGAGACAAAAGACGAACACTAGGCCAATTTACAAAAAAAAAAAAACAAATAATAGGAATAGATTAGAAAGCCTCGAGGAATTGCAGAGTAGATCGATCGTCTCGGACCCTCGTGGATCTTCGAAACGAATCGATGCAACTTTCATCGAGAGCTATCCGTTCCACCGAAAGGAATGTTTATTAAAATATTTGTATCGTTTCCCACGGGCCAGCACGCGATTCTTTCGAGGGCTCACGATAAACGAGTAGCCGGATCCCACGGGATCGAACCGTGCGACAGAAAGGTACCGCTCGGTTGTTTTACAAGCGACCACTCCAAAGCCAGAAGCTTGTCGTGTATCCTCCCGCGAGTCTCCGAGTCCTTGGTCCCGGGATTCCTTTTTCTCCCTCGAATCTCCTTTGGCCAATCCAAACAGATATTCGAAGGTTCGAAGCCAACGAGGTCGAACCAGCCGACGATTTATACTTCTAATTCCTCGATTTCATCTCCGCCACGGCTACGCTTTTAACTATCCCATGGAAACGTGTCGACCACTAATTTATCCAGGCTCCGCTATTATTTAACCTTGCGGTTGTAGTTCCGTTGATGACGTTCGGATAATTCTGTCTTTTAGTTTTTAGCATTGTAATCTCGTATCGGGGTGGTTCGACGCCAAGACTCGAATTCGAGGCAACAGGGTAACCTTTGGTGTACCATAAGCAAGGAGGGATTAGACAAAAATCTTGTCCCAAGTAGAATTGTTCCATTATTATCAGACGTTTCATTCGTTTCAAATATTCTGGTTCTTAGCAATAAAAATCTATGAATGCTCGGAACGAATAATTTCAGCGTCATTAATTTTTACACTTAACGCCAATCCAGATGTCGGCCTAAAACCAAAGTAGCCCCATCGAAATGTCCGTCTCGCAAATCGGTTCCCTTGCTTCGCATTCGCTGTAGCAATCGCGAAGGCGCGTTTTCCCGTGTCCCTTGCCAGCGCCATTATTCCAGATAACGCCTTAATACACCTCGAACAGAGACTCTCCCGTCGTGTTTCCGCTCGGCTCGGCTTTCGGCGCGGGAGATCGAAAAATTCGAATCGGTCCACGATCTCAGAATCCCCGACCGGCCCCAGGACGATACTGTAATCCGATTGGGTATCGGGTCGTCCCGGTAACAACTGACCCGCGACACTTTGAGCATAAAGAAGCCATGGGGCCGCATTGTTTCCCACGCGTTGAATGCCGAATGGAAGGGGGAGATGGGGGGCTGGTCCCCAACGAACGTGTATAATATACTTTCCGGTTGATGCCAGCCCGAGAGCAACTTCGGCACGCGGATTGGCCGAGCGGCGCGGCATCATCCTCCTACACACGTATCAAGAAAGATTGACTAACTATCGCGTTAAATATTGCGATTTGCTTACGCGGGGGAGGAGCGGGGGAGAGAGATGCGAGATAGCGGCCGGAACCGGCCTCCACCGCAACTCTTTCGTCCTTCGTTTCGCGTCCTTCGCCGTTCCTCCAACCCTCTTTGGGCCCGTCTTCCTCCTTCTTGACCGCCGCCTCCCTTTCCTCTTTCTTCTCTCTATCCCCCTCCTGTCTCCCCGGGGTCCAGACTCGCTGGCCTCGGCCGACTGTCCTTTATTTATTAACGCAATTAAAGAAACAGAGTGTCGAGCGTCCACGGCCGGCTTTCTACTGTGCCGATGCCGCGGTCCTCGAGGGGGAGAACAGGGGAAAGGTAGGATTCAATTCTACGCGGTGCCAGCCACTCACGGAACTCGAAAGGGTTGTCGCCAAATTCACGTGAAACCTGGCTCGCTCGAAATTGGGACTTTTACGCAATTCGGGGCGAAGTTTCTAGGTTTTGTGATGGATAATGTTCTGTTCTCGCAGGGAGAGTTTGGAGTTTGAAACGTATCGGTTCCGAGGTCTCTGAATTATTTATCATAAAGTTCGTCGACATAGATAGATGCAATTGCAAGTCATTCCAATCGCGTGTACCCGTGCTCGAGAACATGCAATATTATAACCCAACGCCAAAAAGAGTCCACCGCGAGTCTCGATCGTCAATCGACGTGTCAGATCGTGTAAATCGAAAATAGACCAGAACGCGCCATTAGTTCTCGTTGCGATCTCAATCCCTGTCCAGGAGCGTCGTTTCTCTTGCCCCTGGAGCGCTTCTGGCCGACTCGCAATCAGAATAACGAGCCATCCGGTCGCACCGCCACATCAATCCGGTCTGGGTTACGTTTTGACGAATCGCGGCACCGCGACGCGCGACGTCTTTATAGAGCCACCTTCTGGCGCCGCGCCAACACCACGCGTCGACGCCGAGCAGCACGACAGTCGCGAGAAACTCATCCAACCCGTGTCAGTCGATTATTTTCCACGGGCTTCAGAAATGAAACACTGCGAGCCGCGTCCCGGCGAAGATTTACAGGCCACATTTGTATCGGGCTATCGCGCGCTAGGTCGAGCGATCGATGTCTCTGGAACTGCTGGAAATGAATCATTAGGAACGGAAGAAATTAATGAACTTGGAAAAAAATCTAACGTCCGTGTTTACTTCTGTTGAGCTCGCGTTATTAGCGGAGATTCATTCTTTCGAAACCTGACAGTAACAAATCGGTGCACGCGATCGATTATTTTCCGACGTTTAGAGTAGCTTGCCTTGTAGGATACATCGTTTATCTCGGATTTGTTGATGTCGACTTTGGTAGTCCGGAGTAGTAGTAAACATCGATTTATACTTGGTAGCGAGATATCTCGTCCAGTGTATCGAAAGTGTTAAAGACATTGGTCCAGGTGCAAAGGGTCGATAACCACCCTTTATTGATCGGCAAATCGCGGCGCATTAAGTTGTGCCGTGTCATAGATTACATGGTAATTTTCATTCGCGCGATTCGTGTACCGAGGTAGCGGGTTGAAAAAGCACGATCGCGTCCCGAGGACGGTATCGCGACCAATCTCGCGGCAACGCCTTTGAAGACGCCACGAGACGTCGTGTAAGGGCCGTGTCAAGTAATTGCGTCTGTGTTGCGCCGCGGTGCCTGGCGAACGGGGCGTTAATTTGACGCCACCGAGTGGAACGACGCGCTCAATTTCTCGAACTCAACGTTACCGCCGTTCTGACGTCGTATTCTCACCAGAGCGTCGAATGCGCGACGCCTCCTCGCGCTCCCCCGGACGTTCCGAATTAACCCTTTGAGCGGAAACGTGCTCGTTGATAAACGCGCGCCATTTTTTAAATCCCAACGGTGACCAGGGTGACTGATCGCGAGTACTCAGCGAGCGTCGCGACGACTTTTTTTCGTGGATGAAGAATAACGAGAGGACCCTTTATCGGGGGACGCGACTTGGAAACAAGCTATCTTATTGCGGGCTATCTTTTGGCAGCTATCACTGTACGAGCGATTAACTCCACTTTTTGAGAGATCTTAAATTTAAGTGTCGAAGCACTTGGTATAGTCACAACTTTTTATAAATTTTCGCCTCCAACAGTATCTCTACTCTCGAGAAAGCGAACGAATGAACGTCGAGTTCCAAAAGTGGCCCGCACAAGGAACCAAAGACCAAAGTTTTTCGCTGTTGCGTTCCTATCGGCGAGCATTCACCGAGTAAAACGTTTTATCGTTCGCCTCGTATCGTCCGCTCGAATCCCGTCCTCTTAACTCACGCCAGCCGCTCCCGACACCGGCTGGTAGCGAACGACGAGATGCAATTTCTCCCGTCGCAAGAAGTCACTCTAAGGGAGCATCTCGGTACCAATTTCCCCGCGAAATTGCGATTTCGAGCGGTACGAAACGCAGTGGCAGGCCCGTTTAATCTCCCAGGCGTTCTTTCCGACGCGGACAAGGGGGATATTTGCGTCTGGGCGTTCATCGCCTCTTTGTCCTGCCACGCCAACCGCTATGGTTTCTTTTAACTCATTAGTCGGTGAAATATATTATCGGCAGCGAGCATACGAGGCTAATAACGTCTTTAGCGCGGTAACACGGGACTCTGGTAATTGATAACCGCGAAGGAGAGTACCCCGTGATTAAAGGGTTCGCGTATCGTTCATCTAGGTGCTCGGGGGACTCCTTTGATCTACCCGTGGAAATTACGTCTCGTGTCCAGCTTCTGTTCGATAAGCATGCGACGATCCCGTAAATGTACTTTACGGTGCTGTAGTGGTTGCGTTACGTTCTTCTCGAGGCTCTTGCTGCTCGATTAGATAGGCACCTAATTGTTTCAAGTACTTGGCGGAGTGAAATGTTCGAGTTGCTCTTCGCTAACGCGAACGTTCTAGAAATAAATACTACGACAAACGTTACGTTACGTAGGTTTCAATTGTCACGAAACAAAATTTCATTCTCATAGAAACGTTCACGAATATTCACGTGGCGATCAACGTGTTAACCATTCGATCACTGACTACCCTCGTGACGAAGCGTTTCGGTCGAGCCGCAAGGAAGTCGATTCGCAAACCCTTCTAATCGGCTTCCACCCTTGGCCTTCGCGGAGGGTGTCTTTGTTCCATCGGTGAACATGTTCACCCGCAGAGACGTTCACTCCTTGTATGTATGTTAGCCGGCATACCGCGGCTAAAACTGTCTCCGGCAGTGTCTCTTCGTTACGTCCCCACACCTCTCCGCCCTCCTCGCCGTTCGTGTTCCTTCTGCTCTCCCTGAGTCAGCGTGCATCTCGTAGCCCGAGTGGAGAAGCTCTTAATTTACCTTTCCTACGTCGAGAAAGCGTGGTCCCGCGCGATGAAAACGACCGCGGGGGGGATGAAGAGGACGCCCAGGAGGGTGGCGGAGGGACGAAGAGGGAGAGACGTGCACGGCACATAACAATTAGGTCGTGTTGTCTTGAATTCTAAGCAGGCTAGTGAACTGATCCTGAGCACCGTCGCGAGATAAATGCGGCCTTAAACGATACCGATATAGACGGGCTGCTACGCCGATCGCTTGCCAAACTCGCTCGTGCCCGACAACCCCCTACCCCGTTCTGCCCTTTCTCGTTATCGAGCTCTTTCTCTCGGGCACGACGACCACAGCGGGCCATCTGCGGGATGACTCCTTCCAGCGTCTCCATTCAACTCCTTTTCTGGCGGTTATGAATGTTTCTTCTTGTTCCTGGCTCCCCCATTCTCGATATCGTTACTTCGCGTTCTTTCACATCGAAGTATCATTCACGGGCTTCCTTTTTTTGCTTGACCTTCGGTGGATGACGAAAACGAAGCACAGGGTCGTATTTTATTCGTATTCTACGAGTTGCATTTCTGGACGCGTTTTTCCAATAGACATAAAAGGCACGAATACTTGTGGGACTGACTGTACGTTTTAGCACCATTCACGGTGTTCTTAAAAAATTCTGTTTCGTTCGATTCCGACCATTAGAATCAGAGAAATGGACCCCACTATTAATATATTCACAAAATATTTGTATCTGGCATTTGCTACCAACGGAAAAAAATTCTCAAACGCGAGTATCGTCTTTCTTTCCTACGGTACCCCATCTGTATTCCTTTCAACCCTCAAAGCGCCGTTTACCTTTCACGGTTCAACCTGTCCCCCCCTCCCCGCTCTTCCCTCCTTTACCCCACATCCTTGCTGTATGTTCCCTCGCTCCCATCTCTTATTTTTTTCACCCAATTCCATGCCCGCCTTCTCGCCCGCGCTCGCCCCGTCTCTCGCGCGACTTCCACTCCTTCTTCTTCGTCTCTTTCCACAAGCCGACAGCGAGGGTTTTAAGTCTCCCAAGTACGACGACGGTACAATTGTTACGAGGCTTGTTAGCGTTGTCGCGGGCTAATGGCGCACTTTATTATCGGTCCCCGGCCGGCTCCGCGTTGCGTTCGCGGTGGATGCGCTTAAATCGCCGCCCTTTGATGCATTAGTCCCGGTCCCAGGATGGTGCTGTCCAATCTTCGATGCGCGTGCTTCGATGACGGCGGAGAGCATCGAGGCCGAATCGTAATTGGAACCAACCGAGGCCAGCCCCTCTTTACTTTGCGTGAAATCCAAACAATTGACTCTACATGGTTAGTTCCGTCGCGAACTAGGCATTTGCTTGCACGGTCTTGCGAATTTCTGGTTTGGCATGAGTTAGAAGGTTTTCCGAAACACCCTGTGTTAATTCGTTCTGTGGTTGACTTGAAAGCGCAATTGAAGCGAAGGTATCTGGTATTACATCCTCAGTTCGAATTATATCGTTGATTTAATTGAGATTCTAATGTTACTCTTGTAGGTCTACGACAATGTGTGCCAAAATCTAAGGTATTTGCTGTACGTATCCTAACTTCGTTTTGTATCTCACCTTTCAGTTTGTCGTGGGCAAGCGCTCTTTGAAAGTGTTCCTCCACCTCGGACGCTGCATCCCCTCGGTAATGAGTGAAGACCACACAGTTCGCGTTCATGTATTCCGCCCTGCTTCCGCCATCGTCAGAGTCCTCCGCGGCGGTACCAGTACCTACGGCTGCGAGAAAATTAGCAAGGCAACATTCGTCAGAGCCTGACCATTTGTTTACGTTGGGTTCGTAAAAAATCAACCAGATTTACGAATGATCTTTGAAAACAATCGATGTGACAGAAATTTAAAAGTGAAAGAGTGAGCAGAAAGAGGGAAGTGGTAGACTAAGAGATTTTTGTTTCGACTCACCGTCCGTCGATCTATCGTCGTCTAACGTTCTCGAGGGTTGAGAAGTGGTCGTCGCAAGGGGTGGTCGTGGTTGCGGGGTTGGTCTTGGCGACGCTGGACTTGGCGCTGAACCGACGGAACCCGCGCTGCTGGGCTGTCCTTGCGGGACACTTCCACTGGCACCGCAAATTTCAAGGCCAGCCGCCTCTAGCGATCTTTGGTGAACGTTCAACTGTACAAAGAACATCGATTTGTTCAATAAATTCTTCGATAAATGAGAATTCGGTCCTTTTACTATTTTTCTGGCATTATTTTTCTTCGGATAGATAACATTGCAATTATAATTCAAAATAGTGACAAACTCAATGTAAATATTTTATTTGAGTACGTCGTTTCGCAACTAAGTTGTCAACATATTAACATTGCGCCCCCCCCCCCCCATTGCTAGGTGTCTCTTAACAAATGGACACACGATAAGCATTGGCAGTGATTGAGCGTTTATACACTCGGCGATTAAGATAGTCACGGTTTGAGTAGAATATGAGTCGTTGCTTTGGCTATCTTGATAAATTTCGCAACGTCCTTTCACTTAACAATTTTCACACGCTTCTACCTCGACTTCTACATTGCGCGTAATTACTATCGATCCTTGTTATATCTGCAATTTTCAATGATCGATTAAGCTATGCTCTCGTATTTGCGCAATGCATAGTTGATTATCAAATAATAACCGAGAACTCTAATAGATCGCTCCTATCAGTTTTAATTAAACATGTCACTCCTTGCGAGCAAAAAATAAATACCGCGATAAATGTTTCATTATGTAGTCTGCGATAGTCTAAATAATATTCAATCCTAATAGAAATTTTCAAGAACACTTGCCTGGCAGTTAACGTGTTAAAAATATTCTTTCCCTTTGGTATACGATATGCCTTCTCTACCGTCGGGCTGTCTAGTTTGGACGAACACCGAGTTAATTACAGCGTCAACTCGTTCCACCCCATCCCCCGATCATCCCGTCGAAGCACTCAACCATAGAGTACAATCATCGAGTAGGACTCGTCGATCGATACCTCGAATCGCAACAACTCCCACGCGACGGTTGACCTGCACCACGTCCATATACGAGCGAACGCCAAAATATCGCAGACCCAGCAAGACCGTCGACAACGAAATGCCTGTCGATGAAACGTCTCGCCGTCCGACTGTGAACGGCGCGGATAATCCCAGGGATTTTACCACCCCCGCCGTCCCTCAGTCGTCTGCTCGTCGAGCCGAACGCCGCTCGTCCTGGTTGACGTTTAGTAGGTAAATCGTACGAGCGACGTCCTTAGAAGAGGGGTAAGCCTCCATTGAGCACATACCGACGCCAGGCGTCGGCGTCCATTGTACATCCTACCACCGGGGGCCGGGACAGACTGCAAATAGCGCGAGAGCTATGCTATGTGCACTGGCATCGTCACGGCTGGTCGCAACGAGACCAAATAGGACGTAATGCTCGCTATTCATTAGATCCTAGGGATGCAAATGCCGCGCTGGGTCATGGCATTCTGCTCGAATTTTTTCGCCCGCTCCGCACCGCGCGATACGATCGTGCCCGCGACCAAGCCAACTATTCGGCCACGCCGGATCGAAAGATGGCACCGACCAAAGCCTGGCTACGTCGACGCTCGATTGAGACATTCCTCGACGGGGCCTGTCGATTTAGATGACCCTTGTTCTCTCGATCCGACTTCTACGCTCTTTGGAAGCCTTCTTGTTCTCTGAACGTCGCGAAGAGTTGGCCACGATTTTCGACGGAACACCAATATATGCAAGTATAACAAAGAATCCTGATCTCTCTTTACTCTGGTATGTTAACTTCATCCCCTTCCTATAGAACGCGAAGACTAGACGACTCGAAAGCAGAGCATCCACCAATTAAATCTGTCCTACCAATTGGCTAAACAGGCAGCCATTCCCATCCTACTTTCCTCCTGTAAAACATTTCTCGCCTACTCCATACACACCAGGTCCAACGTTTCCCAGAAGACACCCGCGAGCGCAGACAATTGATGTCAATTGCGAATAGCTCCGGACGTTGTCACCATACCTCGATCAATCCTCGGTGAGGCGAGGTTTGCGCGCCTCCTAGGCGAAACCGTTAGCGAGGTTCATCAACTCGAAAGCAACCAAAGACGCCAATTAATTCCTCGCGAATAATCCGCGACGGGATTATTCGAGGAACTCGGAGGACGCGGCCGTCTCGATCGGAAACTGACCGGGGATGCCATCGGCTGCGTAATTTTACCTAGCCTCTCCTTGTTGGTCGGTAGTCGTGGAGACCTGGTCACGTTATGGCGGGAGTCGAAGGTCAGGAGATTGACGAGCGATCGAAAGTGAACGGCAGTGGGTACACACAGGCTAATGCCGGCTAACAGAGATCGCGCAAGACGATCCTTGGCGCGTTACTCGCGCGGTCCCAGCGATCGCGACGATGCCCAGTCGAGGAGAAATACGACCGCGTAAATGCCCGACGCGTTTTAACGACGATCGTAGAGATTTCCCGCGGTGACATCGAGGCCAGATGTTTCCTTACCGGGACTTCCTCAGTCGCGAGCCATGGTCGCACCTCAGGGAAACGGTTGTCTCCGCTGATGCGTCAACACCTTCGCGTTCTCCAGTTTCGGACGACTCTGATTGCTATCGCGATATCAACCATACATTTTCTTCCGTTCTATTCTATTAAATCCTGTTTTCCGATATCATTAAATTCCACTTTCTACCGATGCATAATCGAACTCTGTTCTCGAACCGTCCTCGCACGATTAAATTCTATTTTCAGTGTACAAGTATGCACCTCGTCGAGAGATGAAAATACTGGCACGATCAGCGCTTCCTGCATCGATGTTTGATCGCCGCGGCTCCATCTTCGAAATAAGCCGAAGCACAGCCGTACGAATTAATTCCATGTTCCTGGGCGCGCGTATATTAGCAACAAGATAAATCGGAGAGACGAATACGGGACGCCGATATTCATTATGCCTAGAATCCTATCTAACGGCGGGACTCGAAGCACCGCCGGGTACATCGATCCTCGAGATCGCACCGAACACGATCGTAATGATCCAAGAAACCGCGCGCTGGTGTGCGCGAGGCGCATGCCTGCCCGACGCGATGATAAAGGACGCGCGATCGCAGGCCCGCGTATGCGTTGTCGGTAGCCATTATTGTTGCGCGAACTATCGCAAATAAATCTGCCTGGACGGACGTGCGTGCATGAATTATTAGCCTGAACACCGGTGAATCGAGGAACCACCGTGATTGGCCTCCCGTGGAACTTAAATTCCGCGGGTGACGCAACTCGTGCCCGCAGTGGGATGTTTGCACAGAGATATCTGATATAATTGACCTTTGTTAGCTTCGTAAAAATGTGTGTGCGTGCTTTGATGAAATAAAAGTTAGAATAAATACTGATACTAAATAAATATCTAGTACTACATGAAAGGTACGAGTGACGCACTTTTAAATTTGATCAACTGTTTCCGCGGCGAAGGTGCGAGCTGAATGGGCGAGAGTCGCACGCATACTGCAAAGTGACATTAAGTGGAGTCTGGCGCGTAGGAGCATTCATCCCTCGCATAAACTAGACAGTTTATAGAATGAATTAGAGTCTCAGACTCGCTAATGAACGATCGCAATCGCCCGAGGAGATGTATGAGTGTCCAGGCGCAACGCGAACGCATACCCAAAGCTCATCATTCGACGGCACGATACACGCAATTGCAGTTGCGTGTGATGTCGCGGTGGCCATTACTGTTGCGCGAGTTCCCGCGAATGGGACCGGCCGACAGATGGGCGTGCATGACGTTAAGTATAAGTTTAACCCTGGCAGATCGTCCGAGGGACGCGCATGGTCCATTACTCGGGCGCGACACACTTTGCCAGGAGCATGGTCCTCTTTTACATTCGAAGTTCTTCGAATCGCAGGAATCGCTGCCATTGCGACATTTCGCAAAATCGTTGTCGAGCGAAGGGATCGCAGTTACAACATTGAAGATGCGAGAATGGTTTCGACTTCTTCATTGTTTCACGTTGCGGGGCGTTCTGGCTTTTTCGAGTTACCATTTTGTCTAGCGAGTTTACTGTTGGGACCCTTCACCCTTGCATTAATGATTACCAAGTATCAAAATTCTGTCTAGAATCCACCTTCTTTCAAGAAAAGATGGCACATGCAACTGCCAAGGGAAGAAACCGTCTGTAAAAGCGTCGCTCGTCGAAATAAATAATCGTCAACCATCCAGTAAAGTCGCGGAGACGTTCGCTCTGGGTTTCTCGTCCCCCCGATCAGTTTGTCGTCTCCGCGGATCCTCCCCCGTCGCTCGCCGTTGACAAGCAACCTTTTGGCGTGCATATCGAGACCGGTGCGCGTACCCCGCCTAACCAATTACGCCCATACATTAGCGGCGTAACCGTGCAACGCACGAAAATAAGCTGACGATGATGTATGCAGTGACTGATGGCGAACGGCCGAGGGACGCGTGGGACGAAAGGAAAAGCCACTCTCGCGACGGCAACGCGAATATACGCTCGGCGGCTACGCCTTCGAGATGTTATCATTATCCGCTATAATAAACCGGGGCCTGGCATTCCACGGGGTAGTAGATCACCGACGTGATCCACAAAGAGCGAGAAACCGGGCGTACGCGGAGCAAACGACGCCGAATGATGACCGCCGGCATTCGAGGAACGTGCAATTGATCATGAACTTGGGTATCGCCGTCAGCAAGAAACCCGCTCCGGGACTCGCCTCGTTTTCAGCGCGTCTCCGCCGACAACCGATTGCTTCCCTCTTTTTTGACGGGAACTTCGCGAAACCGATTTCGAGGGGAACCCTGCAGCGGAGGGAACGGGCGAGAGCGGACGTTTTTGGGGTTGCGTGTGCAAAGTGGAATGAGTTTGCGAAGTAACGGCCAGAGTTACAGACGCGTGGAATCTACGCGAGTTCGTTAAGGATTGACGGGTATCGAGGTGCGTTTTGAGATGGATGGAGTGCATTTGTTTCGGGGATTCGTGGATTAAAATTCAAAGAAATCGTCCAAAGTGTCAAGAATTTCGAAGAGGACTCGTATCGACAAACCTGAACAAATCCTACCAAATCGAATCAAGACCAGAACCAACGAGTTCCCTAAGAAAAGACTAGCAGATGACTTCCCTCCGCTCTCGCAAGCGGTAAACTCACCTGTCAACCAT